TTATGTTTTTTTGTTGTTGTTTTTTTGTATGTGCAGGCGGTGCGTAGCGAGAGCTAGCCTGTCCGCTGGAGCGCCAATGGGCCCTGGTCGCCACCGTTCGCCCGGAAATCACTATGAGCGGCGCTCGGAAACGAACTGCATGGCCGCCGACGATTGGCGACGAGCGGTATGACTTTTGCTCTCTTTCTCGTGCTCCAGTAAAAAAAAGTTTTGTGATGGGACTGAGCGGGGTGGGATGTGGAGTGGGTCGGTCCCCGAGAAGTGTGATTCTGGCGGACGCGGCCTACCCCGTCCTGCTGCTGATTGACGTGTACAATGATTTGTCGCTCGCACAGTCGTACAGCATTAGCGGGCGAAAGCTTTCTATGCCACTGTGTTTCCGATACTAAATATATGTATTTTAAAAAATTGTCTCCCCCTCCCCGCCGCGCCCATGCTGCAGTGGCGCGCTCCGATTGGCCTGCCGGACGGACCGACAGGAAGCGAGTACTTCCGGCCGCCCGCCCGCCCCCTCCGCTGGTGCTGGGTATGTACACGGTGGCGCCCCGCGCGCCCCGCTTCCTCTCCGCACTCGTGTGCTCGCACTCTGTCCGACGCGGTCCTGGGCGGCGGCTGTGGCCCTGTTGGGCTGGTCCCTCCCGGGCGCCGCCACCCCGCCGCGCCGCCCGGCCCGCCCCCGTCCTGTGACTCCACGAGAGTCAGTGTGCCAGTCAGATGACTGAACTCAGTGGCGTTGCAGTGGCGGGGTCCGGCCGGCCCGCCACACATCCCCGTCACCCGTCACCCCGGCACGCCACCACCGTCACCCGACCTCGCCGCCACCACCACATAGGCCCCCTCCACTCGTCCTGTGACACACCAGAACTCTTGTGCGCTGGACAAAGAGCTCTGGAGTGGGCAGGGCGAGCGCCCGGCCTCCCGACGGTCAACGTTCACGATCAGGTGTTTGGGTGATGATCCGTGTGCCTGTTGGATGCGACGGGTTTGGCCAACAGCACGCCGCACCGCCATCAGCGCGACCACTTTCTTCACCACGAGCCATGACTCCCACCATCCCCAACGTCAGCACCACGCACTTAAACATTGGTATCTTCAATTTGTTGTTAAAACAAAATCAAGATTTTTTCTGTGAATGTAAAGTTTTTTGAGTATAGATCGCATGAAAAACTTCTTTCGGTATTAAAAAAAATACTTTTTTAATGCGGGATTCTCCTTTTAACTATTTTCTCTTATTGGTCCCCTGGCCCTTCCTTGAGCACGGTGGTATGTTGCACCTTTGTTGCGATTGAGAATAAAGATAACTAAATTGGCGGCTGTAGGCCAGCAGCAAATGAGTTTCAGGTGGCGCAGTTTGGCCGCCTCCCAGGGGGTGCCGCCTAGAGCCCCCTCTGTCGCCAGGACCACATTTTTCTGCACGGATGGACTGAGATTGATACGGTTCGTTGTGCGGAAAAATGGATTCTTGGCGGCTCGACTTCAGTCATCCGCCGTGTGAAAGCATGAGGCAGAGCAAAGGGCGCTCCAATGAAGGCATTACGTACAGAGGAAGACAAAAGGGTCGCCGCCTAAAGCGACTTAATTTGGAAGCCAAAATTTGTTGCGATATCCACGATTGGTTTAATTCTAGCTCCTCCTGCATTTGTTCGGTGTCTGGTGATGGGCCGCTTGTCCACATTTTAAATGACAAGGGATGTTTTATTTTTGTCCAGTTAGATGAACCGATGAGCCCGTCTTGCAAGATGCAAATAATTTTTTAAAGTAACAAATATGTCACGGATCTTTAAATTTTCTGATTTAATATTTGCATCTTGCAAGATAAATGCTTCACCAGATGCCCGGAGCTTCGGAAAACAACTGCGCCTAGTCAATAAGAGTGCAGGACGCTCATGTGCGGTGAAGACTCAGCTGAAGGATGGAAGGATAACACGTTAGTTGTAGAGTAATGCGAATAGTTACAATAAAAGTTTTGTACAACTATAACGATGTGTCCTATTACTCAACTGTCCCGCTCGCATGCAGGGGCCGGGCCCGCTCGTGCTCCCGCGCACTGGTTCCCTATCAAACCATCAGAATAAAATCGGCGTCGTGCAATGTCGCCCCCTCCCCCCGGGCCCATCAGCAGCAGGCTGGCCGGCGGGCGAGGCCTACCGATCAGCGCAGATCACAGAGCAGCACACACTGCACCAGAAAGAGAGAAAACCAGAGCCGAAATACAGAACAAAGCAAAAGAGAAAGATAGAGAGGAAACACAATGCTCAGAGATTCCAAACGAGAAAAAGTTGTCCGGGAACACGACAGTCGGATCCAGCTGCTGACGTGTTTCCGCTGATGGGGTGATCACAGCGCACAGCTGCATGGCGCCAGGGCCGAGAGGTGCGGAGGCTGTGACATGCCGAGGACTCCTCGAAGGCTTCACAGATGGTGCACTCCATGCGCTCATGACTACTAGAGTCTTCCTCCCTCCACCCGCACAACACCAAAAAGTGTTCTGCCCCCTGTGAGATTTGAACTCACGACCCCTGGTTTACAAGACCAGTGCTCTAACCCCTGAGCTAAGGAGGCGGCATGCGGAGCGCTGCTCGGAAACTGGTGTGGGTTGGGAGGGGGTATCGCTGCCGACCGGCTGACCTTGTGCGGCGTGCCGGGCGATACCCCGCGAGAGGCAGCCGTCTCTGTCACTCCCATGGTGACCGCCCGAGCCGGGCTGTGAGGAACAAGGACACAGCCCCCCCCCCTCCTCCCACCAAACTACCTTTATCCTCCCAGTCAGTCATGTGCACTTCAACCAGTGAGATACGGTCACAAGAGCCGAACAAGGCGCATTCCTAGGACTTCCCCATGCTGTCGAGCCTCGGGGCGGGAGAGATTCTAGCGCTAGAGGCTCACATGGACCACTCTGTACCCCGGACTGTACTCCGGACTGTACACTCCAACACCACCAACTTGCACCACGGACACAGTCCAGCTTGCGCACGTCCCATAGGACGACGACATGACCAGGACGCCTCTAAAGCCCCAGCTGTCGCCGCCGCCACTGAAGTCGGCAATACCCCCGGTGCGGAGGGACTGTATGGCCCCAGCGCCGGAGTGGCACGCGGAGTAGCGCCAGCTGTCAGCTGTGTTGCTGGTGGCGCGCTCTACGCACTGCAGTGGGCGGCAGCTAGCGGCAGCAGCCATACCCATCCGTGGAATAACTTTGTAGGCGGTTTGCCTACCGTCACTGACCAAGGCGCCTTACGGCCCCGAGCGACTAGGCAACCTATGGCATGCATAGCCGTACTGTACAACTTCAAAAGTGAGCGGGGTTGTCTCCTGATGAAGTGTGAGCCTGGCTCCACTTCACTATCCAGGGCGGGAGTTACGCACTGTCAAATAAACTCGGTACTCATAGCGGAGAGGGGCGATGGGCGATAGCGATGTTCGGCGATCGGGTGCACCTCCAAGTGAGGCGGTTCCTTTCAGGGCGACCGGTGGTCCAGAGGCCGCTGCCGGCGTCCAGTCGGGTCCGCAGGAGCGATCGACCGCCGACCGCTTTCAAATTTGGCGCGCACCGCCTTGCGCCGCGCGTGGAACCGCTCACACTGCACCGAGGGCGATGCACCGCCGCCGCCAATGCAACGTTCCCGTAGCAACGGGCCTCAGTGTGTTTGTGTTCCGCAAGATGGCAGACGGTGTGAGTGAGGAAGGGGCAGAAAAATGTGTTTCGGACGAAAAATCGGACTCAACAGAGGCGGATTATGCTGGTGAATCACAAGACGTCAGGCTGGACGTAAAGCCAAGAAGGAGTGATGAGAGTGGGGCGTTCTTCACTCATAAAGGAGGGGAAAAGTGCTGTTCAATGTACGCTAGTGCTGTGCACGGGGGTCGGGAGGTGCTGTGTGTGAAACAAGAAACAGCGACCAAGGATTTAGCGATGCGCCTGGGCTCGCTGTGCGACGAGACTGAGGACAACTGCAGGAAGAAACGCTGCGCCGACCGCTACGACAGCTCGGAGAGTTCGGACAGGTGAGTGGGTCCGCACGGGCCGTACACAAAGGAGGATGCAGGATGCATTTAGCCCCCCTACACCGCCCTGCCCTGCCCCCGCCCCGTCGGTCGGTGCTCGCCGCCCACCCCACCGCTGCCCCCGCTGCCCCTCTCTCCTGTCGGGATCCCTCCGCAGCTCTAGGAAGGGCGATACACCATGGGCCCCTGTGCACCACCCGTGAGGCCAGACTCGTGATTTGTTTGTTTGGTTCCGTTTGGTCCGACCGAGATGAGTTCCGTTCCGTACTGGGCGTTATCAGATCGCGTAGCAGCTGATTATGTAGGTTATGTTTTGGTACCAAAATAGCTGAGTTGATGCCCTCAAGTTTGAGTCGCAGTGTTCTTGTTAATTTGGTGTCCACACAATCAGATGCTAAAATTGACAATGTTGTGTGTGATTAGTGAAGTATTTTTAAGCAGTGCTTAAAACATTGTTTAGGAATTATTAAATTGAAGTGAGGTTAACATCGACTTAAAAAAATGTTTGTTTTGTTATGCACTGTATGGTATTGTCAGTCAGAAAGTTATATTCTGCTGAGATTAAAAACCCATGATTTAGATTTTGTTTTAAGATTGGGTGATCAACTGCTTAATTATTTTTTAATAACAGGTTTCTTACCTGGACACTTAGCTCACAGTTCAAATCTAGTTTGTGGAAAATTTGTGGTTACTTCGACAATCGTCAGTTCTGTTATGTAGACGGGTAAAATATGTTGCTGTGATGACAGCTCCAGACTCGTCTTTTGACACCTGCCTCTAAGATATCTGATCCTTGCCTTCATCATATTTGTATTGGTAGACATCTTTTCAGTGCAGCCATTTAGATAATTCATTTAACACTACTGTGGGAGTACTTTGTTTTGTCGTTATCACCAACTGTGAGTGTGTGTGTGAGTGTGTGGACCATTTCATTTTGTCATTGTACTTTCATTGCTTTGCGTCACAGACAAGGTCTGTATTCAGATGAGCTCAGATAAGGTTGAGCCCTTATCAGTGGCGCTAACAGGGGAGTCCCCTTTATCTGCTTCAGCGCAACGGCGATGTGTGGCATTTCTTGGTGTGTACATTACGTTGTGCACCCCGCGGTGCTCCAGGCGGTGAAGGTGTACCGGGTGATTCAGAGAAGACGCAGGCGCGGACGGGTTTGCCTACCCAAGGTGCCATGGCGCTTGTAGTACGGGCAGAGCTAGTAGGCAAACCCACCCGCGCCTGCGTTTTCTCTGAATCAGCCGGTACTGATTCACGCCGCGCACTTTTGTGTAGTTGTCCTGTACCCCACGGAGCGGCAAGGGCCGTGGGCAGCGAGGATAGGCAAGCCCGCCCGCACCCGTGCATACGGTACAGGCCGTGAGTCGGCCGTCTGGTACAGGGTGTGCCCGTCGTCCCGCGCCGCTGCTCCAACCGCCAGCGCGTCGTCGTATACATTTTTCCACACAGCGCAGTGCGCAGTGCCGGCGACTTGTCCATTCCGCTCACACAGGTTCGCGGCGGCGTCCCCGCGGAGACTACCCTCGCCAGGTGTCGCCTCCACCCCGGCCTGACCCCTCTCCTACTTTATTTGTTATGGCTCTTTCCCTCTCTCTTTCTCTCTCGCTTGCCCTCTCTCGCTCTCTCACCCCTTTGGACTCGCTGCCCAACCCTCTCTCTCTCTTCTCGCACACTAGCCAGCGCGGGACGGGATGGAACGGGTCACTTTGGTCTGGACACTGATTTATGTGTTCATTTCTTCTCTGCAACCTCTGTCTCTCTCTCTCCCTCACACACACACACACACACATTATCCGCGTCACCTGGCGTCGCCACGGCCGGACTCTTGGCCATGCGCATAGGTCAATCAGGATCAAAGCAGAATTTCAATGTCTCGGCCGTGCTGGGCGAGTTCAAGGGCGATAGAGCGCCTCTATATCAGCGCTGCCATCACATTTTCTAACCCAAACTGTTTTCTTTTGCTCCCCGGTCGGGTGCGCGCCCTCCAGCTTCGGGCGGGGCCTTCGGCTTCGGCAGCCTTCGGGACGCGACGAGCAGCGCTTTCCCTCTCGGAGACTGGTCGCTTATCCCTTTTACCCCTCTAATCTCCGCCCCGCCCACGCTTGCTCTGCTCGCGCGATTGTGAATTTGTTGTGCAAACAGAGAGGGGGGGCCCCGCCCCGTGTTGACTCTGGACGCGCAGGTGGGCAGGTGCGAGTGCCTGCCCGGGCCCCGTGCTCGCGATGGACTATAAGGATTTACATTTTCCGGAAAAGTGTTTTTGGCATATTGTTCCAGAACTTTGTTTGAATCGCCTAATTTTTCCCTGAAAAGTTTCTTTCGTTTTCATTTTTTCCCCGTTTTTTTTTTTCGGATGACTTTAATTTTTTAGAAAAATTTCGGACCTTACCCCCTTGCCTCCACGGCTCGCCTCCATGGCTCCACGCCACACAACACACCTGGCACCTCCCCGCCGCCGTTGTCCCGGGCCCGTCGTGAGCCCACCACCGCCGCGCCCCCGCCACCCCCATTGACTGCACTCGCGGGCCACTTGGCACACAATTCGGCGCGCTCGCATGTTTTGCTCGTGGTAATAATGTGTCCCAGCGCGCCACGCCACGCCGGGGACGAGCCCTGCTCGCGGCCCACCCAGCGGGGCGAGCGGCAGGCGGGCGGCGGGGAACTTCCACCCTTTACATGAATTTTAATACCCCCCCCCCCTCTCCTCGGCGCGGCGGGTATGAGCGAGTCCCACTACTTCCACACTACACCTCCCCCCTCCTTTTCCCACCACCACCACAATCAGGTTACGCCCCCTCTCCCCGCTTTTCCTCTTCCACTTTTCTCACCCCCGCACCGCGCGGCTGCTGCTCCGCTGCGTATTCATTTTTTCGCGCGCTTTCCTCACCCTCGTTACTTTTTATGCTCGGACCATTTTCCCTTTTTTTATTCCCCCTTACGCCCCTTTCCCCCCGCCCTTCCATCCATGTGCTTTTCCGCTTGATTTACCCCCCCCCCCCAAATCGTCTCCTCTCTCCCTCAACTCAACCCGTTTATGTTGCTTTTCCGTTTCGGTCGTTCTCGTTTTCGTGCGCTGCCGCGGTCTGGCTGGAATGCGCCCTTCCTGCGCTGCATCCCCACAGTTCGCCGCAGAACACGGCTCGATTAGAGCGTTAGTTTTATTGCTCGGGTGCCCACCCCCACTCCTTACGCGTCACGCCCGCTCTGCCTTCAGCCTAAGCAGCGTAAATTACAATCTCTCGTATTCTTCAAAACATTAGGAAGCCGTATTCGTTTTCGTTCCTGCATATCTGCCGTTGAAAAATATTATCGCCATTCCACTGCCTCGATGTAGCCAGTCGTAGCTGAACAATCTTATTCAGCTCCGGGGACGGGGTGCTGTCCGCCCAGCCCCGCCCCGCCCCGCCCCGTCGGAGCCGCGGGGCGTTAGCGGCGCCTCGCCCCTGACGGGACGTCTAGAGCGGCGGGGGGCGCCCGCAGCGGTTCACCCCGCCACGGGGCCACGCCCTACCTCCCCCGCGTCTGTAGTGTCTTCCTGAAGAGCCTCAAACAGCAGACACGACAGCCTTTGAGAAAGCAACGTGCGACGACTACCTCTCTTCCCAAGTGCACAACAACACCTTGTCACACACTTGCACCTGCCGCCCTGTCCTTCACTTGCAGCTACCCCCTGTTACGCACTTGCAGCTGCCCCCTGTCACACACTTGCAGCTTCCACCTGTTACGCACTTGCAGCTGCCCCCTGTCACACACTTGCAGCTTCCCCCTGTTACGCACTTGCAGCTGCCCCCCTGTCACACACTTGCAGCTGCCCCCTGTTATACACTTGCAGCTGCTCCGCACCTCGCCCCTCTCCGCGCGCAAACCCATCACGGCAGATTCCTCTTGAAACGCCGTCGTCCGTCAAATTTCCTCCGCGAGCGGGGGCGGCGGCGCCGGGGCGTTAATCCAATTGTACGGCAATGAAGATGAGGAGCCGTGAGAGCCAACGCTGCGGGAGAGAAAGAGAGAGAAGTTGAGCAAAGCGAGAGAAAGAGAGAGAGAAAAAGAACACCCTCACCTCTTCACCCGAGCAGCCCCTCGCTCGCTGGCGCAGTCTGCCTTCCGCTCGGAGGGACACGGCGACAGCGAGTGACAGAGACAGACTGTGAACGAGTTGGGGGTGGGGGGAGGAGAGGGGTGCGCGAGGGGAGAAAGAGATGGGAGAAAGAGAGAGGGAGAGCGGGGGAGAGGCGGGGGCGGGGGCGATCAGCCCCTCGCCGCGCTGCGCAAGCTGTGAATAATGATCGGTAAATTGACTCGTATTGGATAGGGGGGGGCAAAAGCCGGCAGCCGGCGAAGCGCGTCGCGGTGCGTCCCGAGCCCGCTTGGTGCCCGCTTGGAGCCCAACTCGGTACATACCCGCTCGGTGCCTGCTCGGTGCTCCTCGCGGTCAAGCGCCTTGCCCTTGTTCGGGAGTCACTTAAAATCCGCGGAATGGGTCCCCCATGGCTGCGCCGTTGGGCCGCGAGGGGCCACTGCGCGCTGCGTCCGTCGCGATGCTTATTTGACGGCCGTCTAATCGGGATGAGGACGGCGGGGCGGGCGGGAGCGACTACTGTAAGTACCCCCCCCGAGTGACATTCCCTTCCTCATCTATAATCGAGCAGGACGAGGAGTGAAAAGGTCCAGCGCGACGACCCCGAGGCTTGTATTGGCGCGATGGTTGGCGACCTCAGCCTGTCTCTGGCCACGGCATTGTCTGCACAGGAAGGAAGTGTTCACGGCAGAAACCTCTATATCCTCCTCCTCGACCCGCGCGAATGTGTCGTGGAAATAGACGTGTGTGTTTGCGTGTGTGTGTGTGAGAGAGAGTGTGTGAGCGGGAAAAAAAGGAGGAGTGTCGTAGTGGTCCGGTGGGCGTTATTGGAACTGCACATCCACGCGGGGTGGGATGTCGCCCCGTGCAGCTGCTCCGCCCCCGACCACCCCCG